CCCACAAATAATATTAATTGTAATTCAAAACATGGTAACTCGAACCATCACTTTCACTACTTACCAATCACTGTCCAGATCGGAGGCAAAGAGCTCTCAGCTGTCATCAGTCACCTGACGATCTCTCTTTTCGAGCCCCCGGTAGCTAGCGCTGCCCCGACACCTCCACTAAACTTTTCGCTTGCGCTCGATGCCTCCACCGTCTTCCCCTTTTCTACCCTCGGCGAGGCATCATCACTACTGAGCTCCACCACTTCTTCTATCTCCCCAATTGACTCTTCATCTTCTGACACTTGGATTGCTGAAGCTTTCCGTTTTTGCCGTCTCTGGTCAGCGATCGGCTCTTCACTAACTACTTTCTTGGACTGGGCCTCCGTCGATGCCCTTCTATCTGCTCTTGGCTCGATGGGTGCAACGGATACATATGCCTCGGGCACAGCATCATACGCTACATCGCCCATTTTTGCAGCCAAGGGAGCCATTATCGATCTATGGCCTCGCACTCCTGGCCTAAGTATGCACAGGGACACATCATCCTTGTATATAGGCATGGGAGCAAAAGGACGAGGAGTCTGCAGGCAAAACCTCTTGAAGGCTCCCATGCAATCTGCCCAAAATCTCCTGTATTTTCCTGTTATATCCCCATGGAGATTTCGCGAAGGAATCACAATACTGCCATTTTCTTCCTCGGATAGGTCATATAGTACACTATACCGAAATAAGACTTCGTCAAATTCATCATATCTTTCTTCCAAGCTATAGTCGCTTGGAACCCCTTGATCATAGCCAAATTGTCTAGGTACCTGCCTTGGGTTGTACACTTTGCTCACATCGCCCAGCTCAAATCGCTCGGGCAGATGTCCTGGCAGCACCACCAAGGCAAAAGTTTGCTCATCTGCATCCCCCGATTCTTGCCTTGGTGTGATCACTCTCGAATCTTCCCAATAGATCCCCATGTACGCCACCCCTGTTATCTCCTCTCGATAGGGCCTGAACACAAACTCTTGTTCGGAGTCTATCACTTCCCCAAGTGCTCGCCTGCACATTTGCCCTGACCAACGTCTTCTTCGTGCCCCATGGTTGCTCAATTCCAAGGGTAAAGGGCCATACACAGGGAATCTCTCGTACAAGAACATCTGTAAAAACCCACTGGCTACATAGGACACCATGGGGTAGCGGCCAGTCGAGCGCATGCTATCCTCAGTAATCATGTCCAATCAATGGTATAATGTTCCCAAGAATAACGGCCCCAGTGGGATCGCAATCCCACTTGTTATCTTCATCGCTATCAGACACCATCGACTTAAGGGTGCATCGTCTGGGGTCCCTAGGAATATATACTTGGACAACCAGCATAGTACATATGCTGCGAGCTCTGCAGGATGTCCAATCTTGTCTCCATCAACAAAAGGACGCTCGGACTTGTCCCCCTTGAAGGAAGGCTGCAGGTCCTTGAACCAGTAGCGTATCCAGGAGCCTGTTGTACATTTTCTGGCTCCTTCCGCTCTCTCTTCGCGTCTAGCCCCCTTTGCATTAAAAAAGGACCCATAACTCTTAGTCTTTTCCAACCCTTCCTCTAATGCAGTCATGATACCCTTCTCCACTTCATCTATCGTCAGGGGTACTGTATATCCTCTACCCATGACATGTAGGCCTAGTAATTGGGCCACGTCTTCCAATGTAGGCGTAAATTCTCCTCACTTCGCCACAAACGTGTGGGTTGCACTACACCATCTTGACACTAGCAATTCCAATCCTGGGGTATCGCGCGACACTTTTAATTTGAGGGACAGATGCATGGCTCGAGCAACTCGTGCTTGTCGCAGCCATAGCATATACATTTTGTGGCTGAAGATGTGCTTAGACCACTCCTCCCATCCTATACATGGGCCCACTAGCGTTTTAAACTCCATAAAACAAAAGGGATACATCCCTTGTTCAATGGCAAATCGGTGCACAAAGTCTACCGGCGGTTGAGCTCCTGCTTCCACGGTGACTTCTCCTTCCATTAACTGGGCCACATCATTGTCAATCTCGTCACTGGCTATGTCTCTCGTAGCTATCCAGAACCTATCCATAGGCCCAAAGAATGGAGCCCTCTTCCATTCCTCCTCCGGCGGTACTTTCGGCACTGGTTCACCGGGTTTGCTCAACTACTTTCTCTTTGTCATTTTATCGAATATCTTACCCGCTCTTCCACAGTAATAGCTTTTCTGCCCTCACACACTCGTTTGTTTAACAGAGTACGCTCACTTCACTTTGCTTCTTGGCTTGGCACGGTCTTTCCTTTTTTTCTCTTTTTTTTCTAGAATGGCTTCCCCTCTCTCCGCCCTGGTTCTATATATATAGATCACGGTTAGATTTTTGGGGAAGACGAAGACACCAAACAGTTGTGTCTCATCACCTCCCCATTAAATAGGTAACTGACAGCAGCCGAAAAGACATCGGTTTCCAAGGTAAGACATTATTACGTTTTCTATGCATGCGCCGCTTTATCCTTTTATTTCAAAATTCAAAAACGCCACGTGCAGGGGGTCTAAATGTGGACATGGTCTAGCCATGTCACCAAGGGCCAAGTTAAATAGTCAACACTTTGACAAAGTCCACCTCAGTAAGGCATGTGATAGTCGATCATTGGGCCTCAATCTTAGTCTACATTCAGCCGATAGGCCTTGAATCTGAGTCACAGATCATAACCTCGATCCGAGTTGTTGTCGATCGACGGGCCTTGAACCTCGATCTGACCTTTTGACAATCTGTCGGTCGATGGGCCTTGAACCTCGATCTGTTAATCACAAATCATCGATCAACGGGCCTTGAACTTTGATCCGAGTCACAAATTGTCGATCGACGAGCCTTGAACCTCGATCTAACCCTTGACAATCTGTCGATCGACCGGCCTTGAACCTCGATCTGACCTTCACAATCTGTCGATCGACGGGCCTTGAGCCTCGATCTGACATTGCCATGAACCATTGATCGGTGGGCGTCGAACCTCGATCCAAGCAACGAAGAGTTATGGTAGGGCTCTTCAAGCGACATTGGGACGCAGAAGGATTTTGGAATGGAGGATGAAAAATTAGTAATGTCTTGTCCACTAAGGCAAGACCCAGTCTAAGGATAAGAGCAAAAGACAGCTGGAATAGTACAATTGCCTTTACAGCCTGCCATTTTTTTGGATTATTCACCAGGAAAGGTACACTTGGCAATGGATCCAAAAATGTAGGGATTAGGGCAACATGACCCAAAAAGGGAATGACCCTGACCCATTCCCAACATAGAGGCCCAACAATGTACCACCTGGATGACCTAAGGTTATAAAAGAAGGTAATGACAATAAAAGGAGGTAGGAGCTAACGGTAGTTTCTTCCCTACCATTGCTCCAATTCTCTGACTGGACTGGTTTTCTCTCCCTTCTTCCACCTTTCTACATTCCTCATATTGCTTAGTGATATATTCCCAGACCTCTTTTCTTTGACTATTCAACCGACGAGAACCAGGTATCTACATCATTGAATTAGAAGTGTGATTCAAAAGCGAATATTTATGGATTTCTATTATGTCATGTGCAGGCAGTCATGTCTTACCAATAATAAAGAATTCAGATTAATATATCGGATAAGATTATGTACTTACATTATATGCATGTAACTTAGTGGCTTCTTACAAGTCATATCACTGATTGTCTTTCATTTGTCGTTAAATGACATTTTACTGATTTGTCGTTGAATGGGCCAGGGCACCTTGACTTTTTCATGTGCACCTTTATTTTTATTTTTATTTTTTTTGTCACAATTCTCACATCTAATCACCTTATGATTCATTATCTAAGCACACATTTAACAAAAATATAAAATTAAAATATTTTATATAGTCATATATTAAAACACACAATTCTTTAAAATGAATGTAATTTTTATACTTGTGTGCTCCCAAAATGTAAACTTAAATTTACTTATTTTTGTACTTTACCTTTTTGTGATTTTTTCTTTTTTTCTTTTTTTTTTTGTTTTTTTTTTTGTTTTTTTTTTTTTTTTTTTTTTTTTTTTTGTGTGTGTGTGACTTGGGTCATATTTTTTCTTCTAGTGAAAAATTCAACTCTTTTAAAATAGGATAAAGTGTAAAAAACCTTTTGAACTATTACTTTTTTACAAATAATTCTAAATTAAAAACTGCTTCCATAAACTATTGATTTATTGCAATTAAGGAAATATTTATTGTAAAATACTATTTTACCCTTTCTTGATAAAAAATTTCATTTCTTAGTAAATTATTTTTATTATCTTTTATCATATCTAAATATTAATTATGTTATTTACGTTAATTTTATTATAAGTATCAATTTATCATAAAAATGAAAAAAAGATGAATAGATTTGTAATTATTATTTTCTAAAATGATTAACTTATTATTAAAATTTTATTATTTATAATAAAACTTAATATAACCAGTTTAACCTTTTTTCTGTCAAAAAAAATATATTTCATATAATTTATTGATGAAAAATTGATAAATTACTTAAATAAAAAATACATCATTTTTCATCTGATATATTCGTGAAAATTTTAAAATTAATTAATTTTTAAAAAAATTTCTATTAAAGATTTTTATTTAGATAATTAATTTTAAAAATTAAAAATTAATTTATGCAAATTTAATGGAGAATATGTCATCAAATTAGTATGAATTTTTTTCATAATTTATTTTAATTAAAAAAATAAATTATGGGTAATTCAATAAGAAATGACATTATGTTCATCTAATAAAATATAGTATAGGCATTGAGATATTTTGTAATAAAATGTGATAGTTTAGAAGGTATTGTGCACAAAATATAGTTTAGGGGTCATTTGCAAATTCAAACATAGTTTAGGGTTTTTTTTCACTTTATCCTTTAAAATATGATATTTTTAATTTTTACAGAAAAACAAAATAAAAAAATAAAAACAGAGTCCAAAAGTCAGAAAGTAGAAACCACGAACTTTTTTGGCATTGCATTTTGTACTACTCTACCTAACTTTGATTAAAGTTTTTTGGAATTGTCGAAAGACGATTGAAAAGTTCTATATACAGTCTGAATATCACGTAGTCTCGATCAGTTTGTTTTTGGTTGTTATTAAAGAAGAGAAGGAAGAGATGTCGAGCAGTACTGCAGCTCAGGTCATATGTTGCAAAGGTATGATATTATATATATATATATATATATATATATATATATATGTATGTATATATATGTACATATATGTATCAGTCCATTGATCTCTCACATAATAGTATACCAAATATAATTTGTTTTCAGTTTTTATAGTCTGAACCTTTAATAAAATGCTTTCTGATGAACAAGTGCTTCTGGTTTTCAGTTTTCAATTTTTTGAGTGTTTGTTTCTAGTGGCGGTCCTAAACAGATTTATTTATTTTTTCTTTTTATTAATTCATTCTCTATCTAGGTTATGATTAATTTTGATTTTGAGGGCCAAAGTAGAAATATGTAATCAAAATTTGTAAAATTAAGAAATCAATTGTAGTATAATTTATTTATTTTTTAAAAATAATACTAGTCTTGGTATATATATTGAGGAAAATATTAATTCAAAGTATGAGAAAAATGGAAACTAAGTAAATAGAGGTGGAAAATTGGCACGAGAAAGAAAAGATGTAGAGGAGGAAACGTAAATAGAGAAGTGGTAAAAAATATATTATTAAAAAATTAATTTTCCACCAACAATTGTTTCAATTTTTGAAATAAAAATTTGAGAAAGATAAATCATTATTAGCTTGATGAAACATTAATAAATAAAAAAATGTACCATTTTAACTAAACAAATCTAACAAGTTTTTAATTAAACACGATTATCAAAAACAAAAATATATACACACATGTATAATATTGATTAATTTAGGAATTTTTTTTTTAATTATATGATGTTTAATAAAGATACACGAACTTTCCGTTAGATGGTGTGTTAGATGGTGTTAACAAGGAAAATATCTACACTTATATGCTCATCTTCACGACCCTTTGGAGAAACACAAGAAAAGAAAAACTAAAGTGTTATAATTTCAAGATAGAAAAAATGCTATTAATAACAATGATATCATATATGTTAATATTTTTAGTTGTCACTTATTAAGGGCAAAAAAATTTTGTCCAGCTATTCTTTGTATAAGCTATATATAAAAAGAAGGATTATTAAAACAATGAAGAAATTCGAAAAAAATGTAAGTTACACTTATTTTCCAAACTCACTATAATTGAGTTATTATTTTTATTTTTTTTTGGGTGGGTGGGGAGTTTTGCCACCACAAATGGTGTGTTTTTTATTTACAAAATAACAATGTTAATGAATGTGCTTGTGTATAAAAGATTTTATATAATTTGTGCAATCTTCATGAGTCTTCAGAGACTTGAGTTTCATATCTCTTGTAAATTGTAATCTTAAAAATTATCAAAATAGTCTTCAAATTCTGATTCAGTTTTTGTGTGAACTTTATTGTTTCACTTTATTTAGCACAGATAATTAATTCAAATTTAAGTGAAGGATTTAAACTATAGTACTATTTCTCTTTTTTTAATAGAATCTGGTTCTTCAAATGATGAAAATTTGTTGCTGATCCATAACTGAATTGACAAAATTACATGTTTTTCTGTATGTAAATCAGTGGTGCTCTTTCAGAATTATGGGTGTTCTATATATACGTATATAGTGTGATACCAACAAAAAAAAAAAAAAAAAACACGTTTTTCTTTATGTAAATCAGTATTGATGTAATTTTAGAACAATGGGTGTTGTATATATACATATACATTTATATATATATATATATATAGTTTAGAGTTTTGAGATGACGAGTATCTACTTGTCATTGTGCCATGATGTTGCAGCTGCTGTGGCATGGGAAGCAGGGAAGCCGTTAGTGGTTGAAGAAGTGGAGGTGGCACCTCCACAGAATATGGAGGTTCGTATGAAGATCCTCTACACCTCCCTCTGCCACAGTGATATATACTTTTGGGAAGCTGTGGTAACCAATTTTTTCGCTAAGTATTTATTTATCTTCAAAGAGCCTATGATATCGAATATATAGATAATATTTTAATTCTTTACACAATAGTTTCAATGATTTATAAACATTCTGGTTATTGTTTCTTCAATCTTGCAGGGTCAGAACCCTCTCTTTCCTCGGATCCTTGGGCATGAGGCAGGAGGGTATGTTAATTTGATAGAATTACTTATAAGCATCTTCATTTTCATGCCCAAAATGCAATGTTAAATCTGATAAGTACAACCTACTATAGTATCTATTTGGATAATCTTAATTTATTTATATTTTTTGGGTATTTTAGGATTGTGAGTGTGTTGGAGACGGAGAAATATAATTTTGATAGAATTCTCCAAATACATCTTAATTTTTGTGTCTAAAATGTGATTCTTTTTCTGAAACTGTAAAAGTGAGTTTACTACCTCTTTTAGATGATTTTAATATAATTTTGTGGGTAACTTGATAGATCTCTTATAAGCATCTATATTTTCACGCCCAAAATGTTTTTTTTTTTCCTCATACCTTTAAACTCTCTCTAGTAATTTTAAAATAATTCCTTGGGTATTTAGGATTGTGGAGGGTGTTGGAGGAGATTGACAAAGCAATTTGATAGAATTCCTTGTAAATGCCCAAATATAATGTCTTTCCTGATAATATAAAAGACTAATATACCAACCCTTTAGATGTTTTTAATCTAATTTTTTGGCATTTTAGGATTGTGGAGAGTGTTGGAGAAGGAGTGACAGATCTTGCACCTGGTGACCACGTCCTCCCGGTCTTCACCGGAGAGTGCAAAGAGTGTGCTCACTGCAAATCGAAAGAGAGCAACATGTGTGATGTTCTCAGGATCAACACTGACAAGGGAGTGATGATTCACGATGAGAAGTCCAGATTCTCTATTAACGGCAAGCCCATTTACCATTTCGCTGGAACATCAACCTTTAGCGAGTACACTGTGGTCCATGCCGGTTGTGTCACCAAAATAAACCCCCTTGCTCCTCTTGACAAAGTTTGTCTTCTTAGCTGTGGAATCTCCACAGGTACAAAACAGTTACTATCTACATATGTTTATTTTTCCCAATGTCCTAAAACTTTAGGCTAATGCTTTAATGTAATGTATTGAAAAGACCTATATGCTTTTGTTTTACAGGCCTTGGTGCCGCTCTGAATGTTGCCAAACCTACAAAGGGCTCAACTGTGGCAGTTTTCGGACTTGGAGCTGTAGGCCTTGCTGTGAGTTTCTCTAACTGTCATGTCATTTTTTTTTTTCCTTTTTTTTCCTTTTTTTCCCCTTTTTTTATTTATTTATTTATTTTTATTTTTTACATTAGCAAGAAACACGTTCACACTCACTTTTTGCCCACATACAGGCTTACATATTGCATGAGTATTTTATAGTACTATAATTATATGTGATTAGGCAGCAGAAGGAGCCCGAATTGCCGGGGCTTCAAGAATCATTGGAGTTGATCTGAATTCTAACAGATTTGATCAAGGTACACAACACATTCAGTAAAGTAAACCATGTTTGCAATGGTAGAAACAATTTTCTCTCCTGTAAGTGAGCTGACAATGTCGGAATGATGAGATTTTCCTGTCTTTGTAAACAGCAAAGAATTTTGGTGTGACAGAGTTTGTGAATCCAAAAGACTATGACAAACCAGTTCAAGAGGTATTTTCTGAACTTGTTGTCATTGATATGCCTTTGTTGCATATTTCAGTATTTGATGAGAAACTTCTCTTGAATTGCTCTCTAGGTGATCGCTGAGATGACCGGTGGAGGAGTGGACAGAAGCATCGAATGTACTGGGAATACCAATGCCATGATTTCAGCATTTGAGTGCGTCCACGATGTATGTTACTGGACTCCATTTTGTTTACACATTACACAGTTATCTGCCTTCAATGCTTTGTCAATGTGCAATTTTGTACTAGCTTCTTTTCCTCCATCAATTTTGCAGCGAAATATACTATTAGATTTAGTTCTGAATCTATATCTAATATAAGAATGTGTTGCTTATAATTTTAACTCTAAAGTCCAAACTATCATCTCAGGGCTGGGGTGTTGCTGTTCTTGTGGGTCTCCCCCACAAGGATGCTGTCTTCAAGACCCACCCCATAAATTTATTGAGTGAAAGGACTCTTAAGGGCACCTTCTTTGGAAACTACAAACCCCGTTCTGATCTCCCATCTGTTGTAGAAAAGTACATGAACAAGGTGAGCTTCTTCTTCGGTGGGTTTGTTTTTTTGTTATTTTTATTTTTATTTTTATTTTTATTTATTTATTTTTTTTCCTACTAACATATACCAACAAACGTCCACTATGGGACTAGAACCCTTCGCCCTCCCCTTTGAGGGAGAAGAGGTTATACATGGTATGAACAAGGTGAGATTGCCAACCCCACTTCTCTCCAAACACATATTGCCCCCATAAGGAACTCGAAATGCTCGTATTCATCTCCTTTCTAATCTTGCAGGAGCTTGAACTGGAGAAGTTCATCACTCATGAAGTCCCTTTCTCGGAGATCAATAAGGCCTTCGTATACATGCTAAAAGGGGAAAGCATCCGGTGCATCATCCGCATGTAATAGAATGGAATGGCATGGAATAAAACTCATGTATCTTACCTTCTCGGTGCAAATGCTAAAAATAAAAAGAAATTTTAATGTTTATGGTGCATAAATGTCCAAGCTACATGAAGTCATTTCTTCATCTCTGTGTCCATATTCTTGTTCTATCTGCATCAATATTCCATTATATGTCCATTATTGCTCAATTTGTTTTACTGACGACGTTTAGAAATGCCATTCCAAAATTAAACAGCAGAAAATTTTTAGTGGGTCCTATCATTGTGTTCGTGTATTATTAGTGCATGGTATCATATATGTGATATATATTTTGTTATTGACTAATTTCGTTGTCAAAACAAGTCCGATCGAGTTGTAAAATTTTGATTTAGAATTTTAAGATTGAAGATCGGAAGCAGATTTGAGGAAATTCAAGTGTTCATCTTTGATACATTTCGGAATGATGAGAACAATGCTTTAGAAAGATATGTCATATCAGGGCCGGTTGCTGTTCCACCTGGGTAGGTGGTGGCCTGCCGGGTGGTAGCCTGAAACTCCTCGTTCTCTTGAGGCAAATCATTGATTTGTGATGTGCTAGCCTCGTTGGCTTGCCTCAAGGCGTTGATTTGTTTGGCGCATGGTGTCAAATTATGCCTACATCTCCTCACGCATTTCCTATATGATTTTCAATTGCTGTAGTTGAATGACATCTTATCTTGTCGCCATTCCAGAGCGATGTCACATGTATTAAAATTCAAAGTAGTAGTGAGAATCTTTTTTCGTAACATTCCCATATACGACGCCAAAATATAGGTGCAAAAAATCTCGAACTAAACACTAAGGTTCAATTTGAGGATTTGAACACCCGAACACTTAATACAAGATTGTTAAAAAAGAAGAAATCAATAGCCGAAGAACAATTAACAAGATTAAGGAAGAACAAGGAAAAATACAACTCTGCTTTTCATTTGGGTCTTGCCCCTTTATTTATATTTTTACAAAGAGATTTTCGTGGGACGGTTATCGACTATTTCGTATATGAATATTAATCCCTCCTGATTTTTTGCGATTTTTTTTATGACCAGCGTTACTTCTAGTCGTGTTGACCAAGACCTTGGGTTGGGCTTGCTGGCTTTGCTCCTCTGTTCGGGCCTCCGTGTTCAGTATCCTCTTTATGGGCCGTTAGTTGCTTGGTGGGGTTTTGGGCTTCTGGCCCAATATACTTTAGCTGGCGCTTTTTATTGACATGTTGTGTCTTGTGAGTGGAGGGAAATTTCCCTCCCTTGCTATATGCACTTTTAAAATTTTTAAATATTGACTTGTATAAATAAAAATCTCCAAAAATTGTAGTCTTGTGTTACGATCTTGTTTTAAAAATAAAAGCTCAAGGGTTCGACCCTATAGATATAAATGGGTGTGTGAGTTTTTTTTTAGTTGACAAGACAAATAAAAAATAAAAAAAACTTTTTATAAATCAAAATAAGGTAAAAATACATTCGACAATATGAGATAATTAAAATCATGCTAAGACGTATTATTTTTTTGGTTTTTTTTATTATTCCTTTAATACACACTCTTTCTTTTAAGTATGTTGCTGCTATTAACTCATTCGGGGAAAGTACATTGAACATCGTGATAGAATATGGTTTGTTAGTTCTTTTCTTTCACGTCTTTTCCTATAATTTTGATTTTTTTTTTAATTGTTGACACTAATTAAAAATCTATTGACACTAATTAAAAATCTATTAGAGACTTGTATTGTAACTATAGGACCTACCAACTTTAGAGAAAGGGAAATAATAAATATTACTACGTAGAAGGCAATGAAAAATGTATGAATATATTAAATGATACCAGATGGCATCAGTAACACTTTCTTTTTTCTTAAATATCAAATTATAATGCGATGGTCCTCACTTAATGGTCGTTTATTTTTTGCGTGGATTGTCATTGTTACCCTTTACATCTAGACAAGTGTAATTGACCCAAAAACTTAAGGTATTGTGAATTGTCATTGTTCATCTAGACAACTGTAATTGATCCAAAAACCTAAGGTATTAGCTAGTGTTGTGTAAGTCACTCACATAGATTGAATACTCTCCCTATTTAGATTCGATGTGGATCAAGAACCTCTAACCATAAGCCTCTTGCATATTTAGTCACATTCTAAGTTACACAATTCTTTTAAAGGAGTGTCGCTCTTATGTTCTGCACACGAATTGGTGTTCTGCGAGCGAATTGTTCCATAATTCGCAAATTTAATTTTGTCAATCCACAAATTAAATTTGCCAATACACAAATTCACAATGATTTATCATTTATTGTATTATGGACAACTACACGTGACATTTTAGTATGGATGACAATTATCAAAATGTACTTAATAGTTAATTATTTTATAAATTCTTAAATTAATTATTTCATGTATGAATATTTAAACAATATCTCTTTAAGAATCTAAAATAAATATATAGATTTTCTATGCTGCATTTTGTTAAAAAAATTTAAAAAAAAAAAATACGACTTTGTATTTTAATTATTACTAATATTATGTATTCCCTAAGATGACATTATCCAGTGGTTATTGTAGGTGCAAAATTTCTCTCTATTAAAATAAATAAAAAGAAAAATACAACTCACTCAGAATAAGCAAAAATAAAACTCAAAATAAATATATAACACTCGATGATTTTATTGGAGGTCTAAACCTCTATTTATAAGAAATAAGGTGGTGGAATTATGGTAGGATTCGCATGGCTTGTCCTATAATTTATTCCATATATAACATTCTTTACAATTACAATCATTTCCTTTTTACAATTCTTTCTATGCAGGATTTTCCTTACACAGAACTTGCTTTCTTTGTTGATTCCTTGGCCCAACAGGACTGGTCTACTTTTAACTAAGATTGGGCTGAATGTGGGCTGATCCAGACGATTCAGCTAATGGGCTCGGAGTTCACCCTTGGTGCTCTGGGCTATTGACGTCCGGGCTTGGAAGGTGGGCCGGATGATCTCGGTCTGTGATCTATATGGGAGCCAAGACTTTGTCTGGGCTTGCTCTGGATTGGGTTCCCCCAATTTGGGCTCGACACCGATTGGGCCCTTGCTGTACCTAGAATAATTTTGTAGTGTGGTGACGTGGACAATTCTTACTGGAGGGGGGATTTTTTCCCTCCACACTTTGCCCCCAATTCTCTCTTTAATTGGACTATGGCTCCTAATTAAAAGGGAATTGAAGTTACACGGTTGCCAACTCTTCAAAAGACGGTTTGAGGTGTGTCTGTTGCCACTCTGACAAAAAGGCCTCTTCATAGTTCGTTCCTAACCCTGCGACGTTCACTTCGCTTATTGCTTTAGCGTGATCTCAGGTTAGTTCCTCATTCATTTGTCTAATTTCTTTCATATCATGAGCTCCTCATCCACTCACAACCGTATAGACCTGGTAGATTCGAATTCCACCCCTTATTCCTCTCCCAATCTCATCAGGATCCCTCCCCCTAGGGTTTCTGACCTCGTTGAACTCACAAACGATTTAGTTGTTCAGATGGATGTCTCCCCTTCATAAGCTGAAGTATCTACTTCGGGGTCAGATTGTGTGTTTACTAAGGGAGAGAGAGAGAGTTGATTTTGTCTATTTGGCGCATCAAGTTCTCTATTGAGTCTGTACTAGAGGATTATGAGATTCTTGATGGGATTGACATTGTCGAATACCCAGAAGGGGCTCATTTCAGTTCCTGTGAAGGCGTAGGAGACAATGAATTGCTTCTATCAGTCGGGCACCTTAACGTTCTTCGTTTCCCTCTTCACCCCTTCTACCATCTAGTCTTTAATAAGTTAAGGATTGCCCCTCTCCAAGTGAACCCTAACTTCCTTTGAGTGGTTTCGACATTTCTAGTTCGCCAAAGGCTTGAGAGTCTTAACTTGACTCTTGCTGATTTATTCACTACCTACACCATCCCCAGGCATGGGATTGAGCCTGGCCGCTTTTATCTCACTTCTCCTCTTCAGCAGAGGATATGCACGGACCTCCCTTCCTCCGAGAAGAAGTGGAAGGAGAGGATGATAGTTGTGAAGGGGAACTGGTTTGTGGATAAATTGAATACCCTTCCCATTCCTCGCAAATTTGGGAGGCTAGGTATAGAGTACCTTCCCTTATTTCATGAAAAGTGCTCTGGTTGTTTCCCATGTCAAGTTTTATTATTTTGCCATACTTATGAATTTCTTGGTCTTCTTTCAGCGACAATTCCCTCATCCGTAGCTAAGAAGAGGCTTGCCTTTCTCGAAGCACAAGTTTGGAGCGAGCCCCCTTCGGTTGAGGAGCTACTCACTTCATCTAACCTTCAAGAAATTGCTTCTAATGCTTCAGCTGCAGGCCTCATGGACTTGGCACTTCCATCTTTTGACAACTTCCCCCTGACTAGGGAGGAAAAACTGAGAGCTAAATCTCCGAAGAAGAAAGCTGCTGAGGAGCAACCCTTGTTGGTTATCAGATCGACTGAGCACGAGAAGGAGGTAGATGAACCCCCTCTCAAGAAGACAATGTCAAACCCTCCCTCCACCAGCAAGACCATCCCCAAAAGCAAGGGGAAGAAGGCTGGGGAGACTGACACGGAGGAGAAAGTCCGGGCTTAAGTTTAAGATGAGTCCGGAGAACCTTGGAGACCTGTCTTCTCAAGGACTGACAAGTCAGTCCTTCACTCCGGGGATTCCATAGTCTCTGACCCCTCTGCTGCCTTGGTAGTTGCTCGAGGGATGTGGCTACCCAAGGATGAAGAGATCATTGGGAATTTGGGGTTGGACCAGCTGCTACCATCTGCCTCAGTTGATGTTGTAAAGGTTTACTCTTTTCCCTCTACTTGTTTAATTCTTCAGATTTCTTTTCACCACATATTTACTGACATTGTTATTGTTGATCATGTAGAGTCTGTACCAGACCATGGCATTGTGTGACACTGCTGAAGCTCAGTCCCTTTCCATTAAGAAATTGGAAAGGGACCTGGGCAATGTTGAGAAGAAGTCTTCACACTGGGCTATGAGTGCGAAGATTGCTTCTGATGCGAGGGATGTTTATAAGAATTGCCTAACAGCTTCTGAGGCGAAGGTGGAGGCTCTGGAAGCTGAAGTCCAGCGCTTGAATGATGCC